GGGGGGGGGGGGGGGCAATATAAAGTTTATAAAATCTAAATATAAAAAAATGACAGATTCCTTTTTGAGAATACATCGCAAAATTATTTAGATTTATTTCGACTTCTTTTCAAACAAATTTTAATTTATGACTGGGTCCCTTTATTATTGTTTTTATTGTTGTTGTGGGCCCACTTGAGCAGACTAGAATCCTTCATCTTCCCCATAATCCGGCTTCAAATCCTACAAATATACAAATATTATAAATAGACCTCAATCAGTCCCTCGTATTAATGAAAACGATTATCAACCTTCTTTGTTATAGAGAAGGCAGTGTAAGTGAAGGCACTAAAGGTACGTCGACGTAATTTTAATATACAAGTTAATTCACAACGATATCCTTGAAACCTTGATCAATAATGTAGAAGATAACGTCGTTTTTATGACTTGCCAGTGCCAGTGTTACTTAAAATTACGACGACAATCCCTTTAAGAAATAATTTCTGAATCATTATATAATAATAAGTTTAATTACAATCATTTATGAATTTTCAGTTAGTTATTTCATAGTTTAACTGTAAAGTGTCGTAACAATCCTCTAGAACTATTCCAAGAATGCTCTACACATGAATTGTTTAATATTTACACAATACAACTAAACTTAACTACGATTAGTTTTACTCATTCTCAAGGTCAATTTTAAAGGCAACAGGAAAAAACAACGTTTCTTAGAAAAAAATACGATTTTTGATAAATTTCAAAAATAACAAATAACTAAAAGCTAGGATGTTTTTTATCCACAATGGCGTTTTTGGGCTTTTGAAAGACAGCCATTTTAATTCAATAAAAGAATTCCTCTACTCCACAGATTTCGGGTCCGTCCTAGTATACGATTTTACTTCCCCGTACGANTTGTTTTAGGTTACGACAATTTGTGGGCCGAGCGCTGCGGCTAGGACAGGCTAGGGGGCCGAGCGCTGCGGCTAGGACAGGCTTGGGGGCAAGGCACCGCGGCTAGGACAGGCTAGGGAGCCGGGTGCTGCAGCCACATTACCAATTATAGCCATGTTGCCATGTGTTACATATAAGATTCGTGTACAAAAGTGATAGGAGGGGGGTCCAAAAATCGTATATTAGGAAATTACCAAGATTTCTAATACTATTATAACACAACTCGTTAAAATGGTAAAATTTTCCAATGTTTTTATATTATTCTATATTCATTATGTCCGCGCAAGCTGTGGTAGAATGATTATTATAAACTTCAGTCCCTCTTCTAGTAACTATTCATTTATTTAAGCCGCCATCAAAATTAACAGAATTTTTCATTAAAGGATTTATAAATTGCCGGATGAATATTTCGACCAACCATAAACCTTCCTTGGGGACATAAGATTTGACACAAAAATGTTGGGCTCAATCGGTACAGCCGTTTAAACGTTTATTGATTACAAACAAACAGGCAAACACCCAGACAAGCTCTATATATAGATAGATGCAGATGATGACCATAAGATTATATAATTTTAGCTGGAAGGAATGCTGTTTAGAAGATGTCGGAAGCGATAATAAGAATTCACGTTAATTGGAAATATTTCATGAAACAAGATTTTGAAAAACTGATATAATCAATAATATAAACTATTTTAAGCGCTACGGAACAATGCAAAATTTAGATTTGGAAAGGTTTAATTAAAAATTGTTTACGAATGTGTGTTATCAAATTATTTTTGGCCAAAGAAAAGTTCGAAAAATTAAACTTTTAAAGCTTTGAAACATGAGCGGGTCATTAGTAAGCCAACAATTGTTTCTTCCTTAGCCGTTTACAAGCTTTTTGATACTTTCACCCCATTCATGTATTTTTATTTTCTCAATTCAGCAATTAACTCGCTAAAATGTTGGAAGTAAAATAGGTGAAAGATCGGGAGGATGGTATTTGAAAAACTGATATAATCAATAATATAAACTATTTTAAGCAAAATTAAGATTTGGAAAGGTTTCATTAAAGGGAGTGACCGGCTATGTAAGGTAGTTGGACTCAGTGTGCAGTGTTGTGGAAAACTTCTTTCGGATTCATAATTGAGACATGTAAAACTTTGTAAAGATCTGTAAATCCTGAGTTTGAGCGCAAAGTCGACGTTCAGAACTCCTACTTTGGGGGTGGATATGTTATACGTTTTCAGAATTAGTTTTTATTTAAATTATTAAATAACGACGATATAAAATGTAAAAAAAAATTCTCCAGTTAACTAATTAGTTGTTTAGGAACAGGTTGAGAAAATAGAAATTAATCTTATCATGGAGAATAAGTAATCTTGTTCAATTATTAGTTTCTATTTTCTCATTATTTTGGTTTCTCATAATTCACAAAAGGTTTTCTGCAGATTTTCTAGATTATTGAAAAGACGACATTTGAAGAATTTGAAGAAATCTGCGAATAAATTCAAAGAAGCTAAGAAATTCAATATTTTAATGAAAACGAAATAATTGATTCTAGCATTGATTTATTGACAAATTTCTTTTGAGAAATATGTTCCTAACCATCTAATTAGATTACTGTATAATTTTTACTTTATTTTTCGTCGTCGTTATTTAACTTCCTTTCAAATTGTTGACGAATGTGTATTATCAAATTATTTTTAGTCAAAGAAAAGTCCAGAAAAATTCAACTTTTAAACGCTTTGAAACATGAGAGGGTCATTTTTAAGCCAACAATTGTTTCCTCCTTGGTCGTTTACACAAGCTTTTTAAAACTTTCACCCCATTCATGTATTTTTAATTAACATTTATTTTCTCAATTCAGCAATTAACTCGCTAAAATGTTGGAAGTAAAATAGGTGAAAGGTAGGGAGGATGGTTTACAAAACAACATGTTTATACTTTATAATTTGAAAAATCATTATAACCGCCCCCCCTCTTCCAGCCCCCTTATGAAAATCTGCGTAATAACAGGGGCGTATATACGGTAGGGGAGACATTTCCCGTCATTAAGACCCCAAGACCCCCCCCCATGATATTCTTGTTAACGTCCCTGCGTAATGATCCCGTCTTATCAATCATATAACTGTAGTGTTATAGAGGATTTCAGGGATACATTCAAGGTTAATCCAGCTTCCAGGGGTTAATTCAGCTTCCAGGGGTAAATTCAGCTTCCAGAGGTAAATTCAGCTTCCAGGGGTAAATTCAGCTTCCAGGGGTAAATTCAGCTNAGCTTAATGGATAAATTCAGCTTCCAGGGGTAAATTCAGCATCCAGAGGTAAATTCAGCTTCCAGGGGTAAATTCAGCTTCCAGGGGTAAATTCAGCTTCATGGGGTAAAATCAGCTTCATGGGGTAAATTCAGCTCCTAGGGGTTAAATTCAGCTTCCAGGGGTAAATTCAGCTTCAACGGGTAAATTCAGCTTCAACGGGTAAATTCAACTTCAAAGGGAAAATTCAGTTTCAAGGGGGTAAATTCAGTTTCAAGGGGGTAAATTCAGCTTCCAAGGGGTAAATTCAGCTTCAAGGGGGTAAATTCAGCTTCCAGGGGTAAATCCAGCTTCCAGGGGTAAATTCTTTAGTCTTGTAAATTTAGCTTCAAGGGGTAAATTTAGCTTCAAGGGGTAAATTCAGCTTCCAGGGGTAAATTCAGCTTCTGCAGGAGAAAATTTAGCTTCAAGGGGTAAATTCAGCTTCAAGGGGTAAATTAATCTTCCTTGGAGAAATTCAGCTTCACGGGTAAATTATGCTCCAAGGAAGGGGTAAGTTCAGCTTCCCGGGGTAAATTAAGCTTCCATGGGTAAATTTAGATTTCAGGGGTAAGTTCAGCTCCTGGGGGTAAATTCATCTTCCAGGGGTAAATTCATCTTTTAAGGGTAAATTCATCTTCTAAGGGAAAATTCAGCTCCTGGGGTGAGTTCAGCTCCCAATCACCTGTAAGATGATTAATTCATAAGAACGTATAATAAATACAATTCTCTAAAAATAACGTGAACAAAAATACAAAAGGGATGTGCAAGGTTAAGAAGGGGAGGAGGTGCTAAGAAACTCTTAGAAACTCTACAATACATAGGCTTAAATCTTTACCTTTGGTGAACGTTCGATTGAAGAACTTAAACTTTCTCTGAAGTATCAGCTGATCTCAAGTTCCGGATGTATACCCTGTATACTGTATATATATGAGTCAAATCACACTTAGTAGTTTCACTCAACTCAACTCCAAGCGAATAAAATCAAGTTAGAGATATATTATCAGGACGGAGTTACAGGCTTCTCCAACCTTGCTCTGAGTTCGGTGCAGAACTGAACCCGGTCACGTGATTGTTTGTTTACAAACAAACCTATGTACTGCGGCGTACACTTGACAGGAGTGTATAGGAATTACTGAACACAACACCATTTATTTATCTAGGGTTACCAAACGCAATTTTTAAACCGTTACAAAAAATTTTTTAAAAAATTATCTATACAAATTTTAAGAAACTATTAATGCTATTTTTGTGGTGATTGCCTTAAACATTGTTTGTCACCATTTTAATTAAAAAATTTAAGATATCAACTTATTTAAATTTAAAAATGATCTTATTTAAAAAGGAAAAAATCATTGAAAATAATTTACGTTTATTTTCTTTGTTTGTAAATCTTGAAATATTTTTGAATTATGAAAAACTTATTTGGAAACATTCTGAGATGGAATTTAAAGAATTTGAGCAGCGGTTTAAATCCGCCAANCTATCTGTTACGTAAAGAGAAAATTGTTTAAAACCTCATACCGAAGAACGTAGCTTAAACATATAAATTCAGAAAGTTCCAATTCATTCGACTCGGAGAGTAAATAATCAATTTAATTTTAAAAAAAAATCATCCAGATAAGGTTCATATTGCATAAAATGTTTTACTTGTTGCATGCAACAAGTAAAACATTGTCGTTTCAAGTCCATGCATGCATGGACTTACGACAATTTTTTTTGTTGCTTGGCTTGGAGTCTGAATTTTTTTATAACAAAAACTTTTTAGTTTTGCTAGGTTTAGTATTTATATATTATATAAAGCTTCATTGCTTCATGGCAGATATGATTTTATTAGGTACTATTGCTTGGAAGCCCATGGCCGAATTTAAAGAATTTGAGCGGAGGTTTAAATTTAAGCCGCGGTTTAAATATGGTTGGTTTTACTTAAAATTGTATCAAATGTTTCAAGATTTAAGCCGGCGCTAAATTTAAACCGGGTTTTCGCGGATTTTGGCAGATTTAAACCGCGGCTCAAATTCTTTAAATTCCATCTCCGGTTTATCTGTTTTTTTTCCATTAAACGTCAAACCAATCAATTTAGAACTTTTTAACCAAACTTTAAGAACATTCTCTTGCTGATCTCAATCAAAATTTGAAGCAATTTCGGCCATTGCCTTTGCCTTAATTGCAAACGGGTCCAGGGCTAAAGATATGACACAGATATCCTCCCAGACAGGGGGGGTATAGAATTTTTTCTATTTTTCTGTCTGTAAAAATCAAGTGCATTTTCTGGTTAAAAAACAAATGAATCTTTAATAAGCTGATTCTGTTTTTTTTGCGATATTTTATGAACCGTTAATGGCACTTGACGGGTTCCCCAAATTTTGTGAATTTTCTCTAACATTCATAAGACATGTTTTAGCAACAACTCAAAGCCATATACGTTAGCTGTATGACTTAAGGGTTTTTGAATTGGAATTCTTGAAAATCACATCAAAAAAGACTTTTTCATGCCGTATCCACTATCTAGTCAGTCAAGCAGTTGACTTTGGACTTTGATTTTTTACTTAAAAATGTCTTTGGACTGTTCATGAAAAATTACAAAATTTGGGGACCCTGCCATCAACAGTTCAAAAAATATTGTTAAAAAAACCAGAAGAACCATATGGCTTTAAACGAAATTTTACGTTTGATTGTAGACCTGTAAATGCACTTCATTTCTGTGATATCTTTAAAATGAATTTGCGGTAAATTCCCCAGGTGACATTTTCTGAAAATTGAGATGATAACTCAGTAGACTGCATATCAACATATTCTAAAGAAAAAATTCAGGTGTTTTGACTGAAAACCTGATGGTCCAATTACAGCAGGTGAGTTATAATAGTTTTCGATTCCCAACAGGGGGGGGCGCCCCCCCTGTGGGAACATAAGGGGGGCGTGCACCCCGGCGCCCTTCCCTCAGTTACGGTCTTGCTTCCAGAGGGGTTTTATGTTCATTGGAGGGATTCAGATGTCTATCCAAGGGATTTAAAATTTCTCTGGAGAGATATCTATCCATGTCCCATGGTGTATTAATTACATCATGGAGGGATTCAGAATATCTAAATACCTCCGATAGAATTTTAAACCAGCTGTAAGGATATCTGAATTCCTCCAGTGGAATTTTAAACCCCCTGGATGGATATCTAAATCCCTCCTGTGGAATTATCCCCATAGATGGTTATCCGAATCCATCTAGTGAAATTATAATCCCCTTGGAAGGATATCTGAATCCCTCCAGTGGAAATATAAACCCCCTGAGTCCGAATTTAATGAATTTGAGCCGCCTCTCAAATCCACCAAAAAAGGTTTCAATTGAGCGCCGGCTTAAATCTTGAAACATTGAATACAAATTTAAATGGAACCAATTATATTTGAGCCGTGTCTCACTATTCATTTATTTAAGCCGCCATCAAAATTAACAGAATTTTTCATTAAAGGATTTATAAATTGCCGGATGAATATTTCGACCAACCATAAACCTTCCTTGGGGACATAAGATTTGACACAAAAATGTTGGGCTCAATCGGTACAGCCGTTTAAACGTTTATTGATTACANTTATAATTCCACTGGAGGGATTCAGTTATCCTTCCTAGGGGTTTATAACTCCACTGGAGGGATTCAGATATCCTTCCAAGGGGTTAATTATTCCACTGGAGGGATTCAGATATCCTTCCTGGGGGTTTATAATTCCACAGGAGGGATTCAGATATCCTTCCTAGGGGTTTGGTTTCCATAATTTTCTTTCCAATCTGGTTTGGTTCAACCTGCCACCAACTATATTGTTAGCTCTTTTTAAAGTGTCATGATGGAACTTCGGAAGTAAATGTGTAATTTATTAAAACTAACCACGGTAGTTTTTGATAGATTTTCCAAAACAATTATCTTTAACAATTTGTTTCGTAAAGTTGGTTTTAATGCAGTTTATTTTTCTTTTTAAAGTTGAAAATCTCTTCTACAGCGAAATAAAAAAGTAAACAATTTTTGTTCGTGTAGTGTATAATGTATATCTGTATCACTAATTATGCATATTGCATATACAATTTCATGTATGTGTATTATATAAAATTAAGTTTTTTAAAAACATTTACTACTCCGTTTTTATGTGTTTATCATTTATCAAGAGTAAAAACTTGAATTAAAAATATTTAATCAAATTAAGACGCTTAGCAGAAATTGAATCTGATAAAACACTTGATAAAACCCTTATATAAATCTCAGAAGCTGACCTAATACACCAACAGTTGTCCAACGACTAAGTCTTTATAATGAACGGTACAAATAATCAGGTTAATGGAAGCAGCCAGCTAAATGGAAGCAGCCAGCTTAACGGAAGCAGACAGCTTAAAGGAAGCAGTCAGCTTAAAGGAAGCAGTCAGCTTAAAGGAAGCAGTCAGCTTAATGGAAGCAGTCAGCTTAATGGAAGCACCAAGTTGGTGCAAAAAAGAAACGGATTTGAGAACTATGAAGCTTCTGTGAACGGCAACGGGGTTCAAGTTCCCAATGGAGTTAAAATGAACTTTGCTGTTGATGGACATTTAGAATCCCATGACCCGTAAGTTTCTTTTATTTTATCCAATTCATTATTTTCTTTTAAAAAACGAAAAAACAAAAAACAAAAAAATCATTTTAGAGAGATTGTAAACGTAATTTCAATATTTTTAAAAAACTGATTATTTTCAAATGTGAATTTTTTGAGGTTTTTCTACAATACAAAACAATGTAGAAACATTTTAAGCTAGAATAACGAAGTTATCTTCGACTTATCACGTATATGTACATAAAAAGGTTTTCATGGGTACGGTTCTGAAAATGGAGGGTAACATTAGATTTCAATGGCAATTTTTCAAAACATGCTTTTTTCTTTGCATTTCTAAATCAAACTTCTGAAAAATAAATTTAAAGGACCAAGTCTTTGTTGTAAAAAATAACTGTAGGTTACGTAACAAATGGAAGGGGTATACTACAGTGATAACCAGAAAACTGTAGAATAGAAAGACGACATTAAAGCAATAATGATTAGTGTATTTGATGTTGTTACAAAGTAAATAGCTTTACTAATAAATTATTAAATCACTTATTAAAAAATGGGTCTGATTACACTGCACAGTTGCTGTCCCATATGGTCATGGACTATCTAAAGCCATAACATTATTCTAAAAGTCGACTTTCTATTCCAGAGTTTTCTGATCATCACTGTATACAAGATAAGCAAGACGAATGCACGGAATTTAAACTGTTTGTCAATGGTTCCTTGCAACTGTAAAATTAATAATTCTTTCTTTCGTTAATTAAGCGATTAAAAGACTATATAACTAAGACTTCAAATAACCTAAAGATTATGATAATTTAACAGTTTCGTAGGCTTTACAGTCTCCTCCTTTGAGGGTTACCTTTTATCGTAGGTTTATAAAAAAAATAATTCAATATATATAAATCATGCAATTACAGTTTCTTAAAAAGATTTGATCCGTATAGGTGAAGTTTTGATAATAGTTTCAAAGTGATATTATCTATATTTACGTTAATTATATAGTTATTCCCAGCTCTTCTCTAAAACTCTTTTCTTTTCAGAATTGGATTTGACAGATTAAAAGAATCTTCAGATTACATCTTGGCGAGAACAAACTTTAAACCTAGGATTGCTATCATCTGCGGATCAGGATTAGGTCAGTTCAAATATCTGAAAATATATATTAAAGAGACGCGTCGCGATATTGGAAGAGAGTAAAGTATTCTATGCTCGTCACCAAAGAGATAGAACCCCACGTGAATTTAATGGTTCTGTCAATATTCCAGAAAGCTGTGACTTTCGATCACAATTTGACCCATTAAACATATTTTGTTAGCCTTTTTTCTTAAATACTTTTTTGTTGGCATATGAATTCTGAATGAAAATGTATTCAATAAACAAATCCGTAAAGTAAATGATTATTGAATAAAAGACCAAAACACGTTTTATTTCAAATAGAGGAAAGCATTCGCTCACTCTTGTTAGTCCGGTGTGACCCGGTTACCCCGAATATGTGAAACAATTGTATTTTCAACTTCTTTTTGTACACAAATATTTTTTTTTCTGAAAAAAGACTGTATTTATACAAATTAGGATCCTGAACCAAATTTAATGAATAGCAAGAAGTGGTTAATTAAACTACATATGGACTAAGTTTAACCACTTAACTTGTGTAATGTGCAGTGCTAAAGCTCTTGATTTTAACATCTCAGTCTTACATGCAATATTTTAACTAAAGCTTTCAAGCGCTACAGTCCTTTCTTATAGTGACTGGTTTCTCATTTAAAAGTTGTTTTTCAAGTCGCCCTGTTCACTTCGAAATTGATAAACTCAAAAAGAAAATTTCTGTTAACATTGTTAAATTTTGAAATTCCTTTTCATAAACATCGATTTTTTTAAAGGAATAATTTAAAAATTTTAACACTCCATAACCCCTCTCGTCCATGGGGTCGTGTAAGTGGCCACAAAAAATGCACGATTTTTTATATAGTTTTTGTTGAAGTCCAATATTTAGGAGGATTGGCGGATTTGGTTGAATCTGCGGATATATTCAAGTATTCAGATATTCCTCATTTTCCTGTATCCACCGTTGCCGGACATGTCGGAAGGTATTTTTTATATTAAAATTGTTACATTTGTTTTGTGCCCCTGTCCTGCCCCCCCCCCTCTCTGAAAAAAAAACAATGACCCGTGATTATACTACTCTAAGTCAAGTTAGGTTAAGATTAGGGTTTCCATTTTTCCGGAAAAAAATTTCCATTTTGGAAATGGAATGATCCGGAAATTTGTTGCGTAAACCGGAATTCTGGGATAATTCTGGTATAAATGTAAACCGGAAATTTTCCGGTTTACGTCACGTAAACCAGAAAAATTTCCGTTTTACGGAATGGAAACCGTAAAATTTCCAGTTTCCATTTCGTAAACCGGAAAAATTTCCGGTTTCCATTCCGTAAACCGGAACTTAAAGAATTTTTTCTTATTTTAATTAAATTCATGTTTACAAAGTTTGAAAATTTGAAAAAAAAAAATCGAGGATCATTGCCCCCGGCTCCCCGCTAGCTACTGCCCTGCTAGTGGTAGAGTCCCCCCCCCCTCGGGTTATCAGTTACATTTCACACTAAAGTAACTTTGAATACTAGCCTTAGAGGGCGCTTCGCGCCCGGCTTCTAAATTAATTGTGAACCAATAAACGTCAAAACGGCTGAACCGATCGGGCCAAAAATTTTTGTGGGACATCTAGGGACCCCAGGGAAGGTTTATGAATGATCAAAATTTTAAATATTTGTCTCCATCAAAATTCGATCATCATTAAATTTTTTAAAATTTTGAAAATCCACGAATTATTGTGAAAATCCGCGAATTATTTTTGTTTTGTTTTACGATGTACATAAAGAGAACATGTTCACAATTAATTTAGAAGATGGGCGCGAAGCGCCCTCTAAGGCTAGTTTTTACATATTTTGCTTAAAAAAGCTGTGAAAGGTATCTTGGTGATAAAAAGTATCTTGGTGAGTAGTAGAGGGTTCCTTGAAATTACATTGTTCCCTGTACAAGGTTACTGGTTGGACTACTGGATAATGTTGAGGTGCTGGTCATGCAAGGAAGGTTCCATGCTTACGAGGGATACAAACTCTGGCAGGTATTAATCAGATGGCTGGTAGTAATCAGCTGGCTGGTAGTAATTTAGCTGGCAGGAAGTAATCAGCTGGCAGGTATTAATCAGCTTACAATTATTTATCATCTGGCTGTATAGTAATCAGTTGTTGGACATTAATCAGCTGGCAGGTAGTAACCAGCTTGCATGTAGTAATCAGCTGGCAGGTAGTAACCAGCTTGCAGGTAGTAATCAGCTGGCAGGTAGTAACCAGCTTGCAGGTAGTAATCATGTGGCAGGTAGTAATCAGTTGTCACGTTGTGTCATCTGGAAAGTTGTAATCAGCTGGCAGGCAGTAATCAGGTTGAAGGTAGTAACTAGCTTTCAGGTAGTAATCAACTGGCAGGTTGTAATCAGCTGGCAGGTAGAGTCATCTGGCAAGTAGTAATCAGCTTGCAGGGAGTTATCAGCTGGCAGTATATTGATCAGCTGGTATGTAGTAATCAGCTGACAGGTATTAATCCGCTAGCAGGTTGTAATCAGCTGGCAGGTACTAATCAGCTGGCAGGTAGTTATCAACTGGCAGGTAGTAATTAGCTGGCAGGTAGTGTCATCTGGCAAGTAGTAATCAATTGTCAGTAAAGCATTGAGCTGGTTTGAAATAATCAGCTGGCAGGTAGCAATCAGTTGGCAGGTACTAATCTAACCGGTAGATAGTAATTAGGTGGCAGGTTTTCAGCGGTCAGGTAGTATCATCTGGCAAGTATTAACCAGCTGTCAGGTATTTATATATCAACTGGCAAGCCAGTTATCAGCTGACAGGCAGTAATCAGCTGGAAAGTAGTAATCAGATTGCAGGTATTTATCAGATGGCAGGTATTTATGAGCTAGCAGGTAGTTATAAGCTAGCAGGTTATAATGATCAGCTGGAAATATAGTAATCAGCTGGTACGCATTAATCAGCTGGCAGGAACTAAGCATCTGGCAGTATAGCAATCAGCTGGTACGTAGCAATCAGCTGACAGGAACTAATTAGCGGTCATACAGTAAACAGCTGGCATGTACGATTGAGCTGGCAGGAACTAATCAGCTGACATTTAGTAAGCAGCTGGCATGTACTTTTGAGCTGACAGGTACTAATCAGCTGGAAGGTAGTGCCCATCTGGCAGTATGGTAATCAGCTAATACGTAGTAATCAGCTAACAGGTGCTTATTTCAAGATGCAAAATAGAACAAATAGAGCTATGATGATATAACAGATATTAAATGTTGCTGCTAAAATATGATCATTTAATCAAACCTTGCAGACGTTCAAAATTCAAAAGATTCGCCTTTATTTGTGATTTTTTCTTTGATGTAAGTTTTATTTCTTAGTTATGCTATATTTCCTAATTATAAAAGACTGCTTTGCCTGTGCGAGTGATGAAACTGATTGGTATTGAATATCTTCTTGCTACAAATGCTGCTGGAGGGATAAATACTAAGTTCCAGGTAAGGTTTCCATTCTCAATTGCGCAAAAAAGTACGAACAATTTTTCTTGTAGCACGCTTATACTTGTCTGAATAAATTTAAAATGTATCTTATTGCATCGTATTTTTTATTGCAACTGTCTTAAAGTATATCAAAAAAATAATAAACATTTTGCGCGTTTTTTTGCTAAAACTTACAATCATTTATGATGTAAACCTTGTAGCAATAGCTGTTCTTAAAAGCTAGGTTTTAAATAGTCAATAATTATATATCCCTCTTCAATTTCACAAAATTCCGCTCCTAAAAACGTAATTCCATCGGACTGATAATTTCTCCGCTGTCTCTGAAGCAATAAATAAAGCTACTTTTGTGAAGACTGAGAAACCACCAAAGAAAATGACCAGTTTTCAAAAACAAAAACACAGAAATTGTTTTTATACTTGCTGAGACAAAGGTTTAATGGTACCGTTGTAAATCGGACAGTTAATGAAGGGTCGTTTGAAACTTATTTTACGGTCAACTTAATGTAGGTTGGAGATGTAATGCTGATAAACGATCATATAAATCTACCAGGATTCTGCTGTCAACACCCCCTCAGGTAAATACATAAACTTAATTGAGAATTGATAAAACTTTAAAATATGCAAACGACGATATAGCAATTTTATGTTTGATGTATTTTCAGAACAATTCAACTGTTTTATACCAGTAGTCCGGAAATCAAGTCGTCTTTCCATTGAACAGTTATATTGGTATCACTGTGTGTATGTCTTCACTGTGTGTACGTCTTATGTACCCTGATCAAGTGTCTAAAGAACTACTGTCGTGCTTATTGGGACTCTTGCATTCAACCTGTATTGATCACAGTAAAATTTTGTGAGATACTACAGGGTGTCCCACGAAACATGACAATTGGAAGACGACTTGAAAGTCTTTGGTATTTGAATTTATTTGTGACATTTAGTCTTCTATCTACTTTAACATGTATGATTCTTGAAACAATTATCACATAATTCTCCTAGCCCTGGCATTTCCAAAAAGTGGTCTGCGTTTTTTGTGCTTTCAATATTACCGGAGATATAAAGAGTTTGGTTCAGATTTCAATTTTGTTAAATAAAACCTAAATTGTCGAAATCTGAACGAAAGTCTTCATATTTCGGGCAATATTGAAAGCACAAAAAAGGCAGACCACATTTTGGAAATGGCAGGACAAGGGAAATTTTGTGATTATTATCTCTAGAAATTTACTTCTAAAATTAGATTGACAAATAAACGAAGCAAATTATATCAAAAATCAAGACGACATTCAAGTCGTCCTGCATACTGTCATGTTTCGTGGGACACCCTGTAGATCCCAATTCTCTAGATTTCTATGTTTTAACCAAGGCGTATAATACACAGACAGAACAAGAAAACATTTGAATAGGAAGACGACATTAACGCAATACTGAGGTGTATTTTATTTTAATATACAAATTGCAAATATTTTTATCAGTAGCTTTAATTAAATCACATGGATCTGTTTACACTGAACAATTGCTGTGTTTTGTGTTTATTTGATTATATAAACAAGGGCGTATACAGGAAAAGGTAGTTCCTCACAGCTAGAACTCACAGCTATCACATTTTTCTAATTTTAAACTGAGAGTAAAGAACATAAAAAAGATTGAAAGAGAGATAAAGTAGTATAACTTGCAGAATGCAGGGTGATTGGACTGTATGTAACTTTAAAGTATCTCATACTTATCTGGTTTAAAATTGTCATGGATTTCAATAATTTTGAATATGAAGATAGTAGAAAAGAAAAAAATGTGGCACATATCCAAACCAAACTCATTTGGAATTATTTTACATCATCTTTCATTTTCAGAATATTCCCTTTAAACCTGTAAAGTTAAATGTTTAGGGGTGCAAATGATGAGAGGTTTGGACCCCGATTCTTCCCAACAAATCATGTCTATTCTGACAAAGCTTTACAAAAAGCAAGACAGGTAAAGATAAGATTATTATTGTACAGTACAGGGGACAAAGTGACAAAATTCAATTGTGAATCGCTATTGGTTTACATTTTACCAATCCTGGGATTTAGAAAATATTATTTGCAAACAGAGGTGTAAAATATTGGTCTTAAGTCTTAATTTATGAATACAAATTTTAAACGCCTTAATTTTCAATGTTTCATACTGAATTTATGATTAAACGATCAGAAGACATTGATGCATGGTTCTCATCCTATTAAACTATTTACATTTGCATAAAAGCAAAATTATCAAAAATGCTACGAGTATACGATAGTGAAGATATTTTATTTTGTTTACAGAGATACATGTTATTTTTGATTTAGATTTTTTTAAATACGTTATCAAAAAAACGTAAAAAGGCTTATACTAATCGAACCCACATTTTCAGTTATAGCAACTCTTATGACCCCAAGGGAAGGTTTATGGCACCAGGGAAGGTTTATGACCCCAGAGAAGGTTTATGAAAGGAATGTGTATGGCCAATCGAAATAAAAGATTTGCCTCAAGAAAATTTGATGTGTTAAAGTTTTGGTAATTCAATAATTCACAATTAAAACAGAACAAAAAATTTATATTAAAACGACATTTTTCTTGTTAGAAAGGGCGGTCAGCGTCGACATGGAGGCATAGAGTTTAATATTTAAATTTCTAGTTAGGAAGTGATTACAGTATGAAAGAATGGATGAGGGAGGGAGTGTACGCTATGACCGGGGGACCTAATTATGAAACTGATGCTGAGGTAAATAAAGACCTCCTTGATATCCTTGACCTCCCTGTTAACCTTGACCTCTTTGTTAACCTTGACCTCTTTGTAATTCTTGACCTCATTGTAAACCTTGGCCTCCTTGTAAACATTGACCTACTTGTAATCCATGACCACCTTGTAATCCTTGACCTCCTTGTAATCCTTGACCTCCTTATAAACCTTGACCTCATTGTTATCAATGACCTCCCCGTAATCCTTGATCTCCTTGCAATCCTTGACCTCCTTGTAATACTTGATCTTCTTGTACTCCAAGACAACCTTGTAATCCTTGACCACCTTGAAATCCTTGACCACCATGTAATCCTTGACCTCATTGAAATCCTTGACCTCCTAGTAGTCTTTGACCTCCGGCCTTTTACAAATTGACCTCCTTGTAATCCTTGACCTCCTTATATAACTCTTGACCCTCTTGTAATCCTTGAGCTCCTTGTAATTTTTGACCTCCTTGTAATTCTTGACCTCCTTGTAATCTTAACCTTCTTCTAATCCTTGACCTCCTTATAAACCTTGATCTCCTTGTAAACATTGAACTTCTTGTAAACCTTGACCTCTTTGATCTCCGTGTAATCCTTTACCACCTTATTATCCTTGACCTAGTCCTAGTAATCCTTGACCTAGTCCTAGTAATCCTTGACCTCCTTGTAATCCTTGACCTAGTCCTAGTAATCCTTGACCTCCTAGTAATCCTTGACCTAGTCCTAGTAATCCTTGACCTCCTTGTAATCCTTGACCAAGTCCTAGTAATCCTTGACCTAGTCCTAGTAATCCTTGACCTCCTTGTAATCCTTGACCTCCTTGTAATCCTTGACCTAGTCCTAGTAATCCTTGACCTCCTTGTGATCCTTGTAATCCTTGACCTCCTTGTAATCCTTCACCTCCCAATAAACCACCTTGACCTCCTTGTAATCCTTTACCTCCCAGTAAACCACCTTGACCTCCTTGTAATTTGCAATCTTTGACCTCATGTAATTTTTAGAGCCCCTGGAACTTTTATTCTTAGATTTTACCTCAGACATTTTTTAGACCCCATACATTTTTTTGTTTTTCTCTAGACTTTGACTTGACCTCAAAAACCTACTTGACCCATAGACCTTGATTTTCAAGATCCGTATGACGTTCTTGATTTCTTTGACCTGATTTGTAAAATACTTAAATTATGAAAAAGGATTTAATCCTGACATAAAATTGTACACTGTGCTATGTAGTATGTACTACATAATAATTGTGAAAAAAAAACATGTACACTGGTGTACAGGTTCGATTACTCCGTGTACTGGGTGTTGATGCTGTTGGTATGAGTACTATTCCAGAAACCCTCGTAGCACACCATTGTGGTATTCAGGTATCAGAGTAATCATTCTTAAAAGCTTTGCCTGAACAAGAATGCAAGAGATATCCATCATCTTCTCCGTGTAAATTGATTATTTTCATTTGTATTTTTTTCTTTGGATTAATTTGGTCGTTTTTGCTTCAATTAAAAAAAAATATTGTCAGAATGAAACGCTTTTCAATCAAGAAAGAAGACCATATCAAATTATTGGTTTTAAAGGTTTTTATGGCACCGTTGTGAATCGGGCCTGGCCCTGCATATTTAAATAGAAGGTCGCATTCCATAGTTTGTATTCCTATTGAAAACACCCTCTTTTATGGATTTAAAAAACTTTAATTTTAGTCTGATTCTGATATTGACTAAAGTTAATGTGTTTCTCGCTTTGAGTGTGAAATTCTTTAATTTAAACAATAATTAATAAAAAGAAATGAATTTAGGTTTTTGCCTGCAGTTTAATTACAAATATATGTGGCGAAGAAACTAATCATGAGGAGGTGAATAAACTACAGGGTTACACATAGTAGATCAGACTTTAATAACGACCTTTAACATTAAATTGATAATAACAATTTAATCATTTCTTTTGATCTTTTGCCATAAATATTGCTGTAAATGGTCTACTAAATGATGGCAGTATGAAATGCAAATATGAAATCCTTAAATAATACATCCAGCAATCATTTCTCAAGTCTCATCCTAATCCTATAGTGGGTACTGGGTAACAATGTACAGGGTGTCCCAATAAACATGGGAATTCAGCGACGAATTCGATATCGTCTTTTCAAATAATTCTTTGATTTATAGGATAGTGATACCTACTGAGAAAGCTGTAATCTGTAAGGGTTTCGTCTGCTATGTTCGTTTGTTTGTTTATGTTTTGACTGCATCCTGTTGTACTTAGTAAAAAAAGAAAATTGCAGTATACAAACAGTGTAAATTGTAAACTTGTCCGTCTTTACTGTTCATCTTGCGGAGACATTATACAGACACATCTTTACAGCCATTTACCGTTTTCATAAATTAAACTCTAGCAGACATAATAATATTATGGCTTTTGTAATTAGGTATTACAATGCTAATTCATAACACAGACGTTATCGAATTCGTCACTGAATTCCCATGTTTTTTTGGGACACCCTGTATAATTTCAACAAGAGGGTAAAAACTTCATGTTGACACGTGATAATTGTGACGAAGAGAGTGGATTGTGCGGGTGCACAAATAGTTGTTATTAATCTTTATTACAAGAAAATTTTTTTATGGATTTCATAATAACTTTGTTTAGGTGATGCAAATGGCACAGAAAAGGGCTGGAGCCCTAAAACGGTTTATTTCAAGAATGGTGGTAGAAATTCACGACGACATTTTGGAACGTACCTCCAGCTCCTTTTAGGAAACCAGAAACTTCGATCCAATCATTTTAATTTAACAAATGTTACAGATTTTCAAAAAACGTGGAATAGAAATTAAATTTTTTACACAAACTTAAATTTACTATTCTCTATATCAATGCAACCTGATGGTGTAAACCTTTGATATTTCAAACTAATGTTGTTTACTATAACAGAATTGATAGTTTGTAATGTTTCAGGTTGCAAAGATATAAGTTTGAGAAAGTTTGAGTTTGTGGCAAAGACTCAATTCCTTTAATTATTCATCGTTTTAACTTTATTTTTGTGTATAGTACTCTAAAATGTTGCCGTCCGTTTATAGTTTTTCTTTTCTTTATTATTTCAGGTTTTCTGTTTCAACTTTTCATACTTTTATAATTAGCACAGTAGTCGGAACTTTTGAGTTATAAATCTCGGGATTAAGTATTATACAAATCTACGGATTAATTTAATTCTTTTTCAATTTTCTCGTGGTGGTCTTACCCTATATAAGAATAACTTTTATCATATATGGGATCTTAAGGATTGATCCTCGGATTAAAAGTGTCCACATTGGATATTGAGAGCACAACAAATTTCTAACCTCTGAATTGTTTTGGATTAAAAAAAAGAAGAAAAATAATTGATTTCATGATTGGGAAAAAGAAACGTATTGATCTCTATGTATGTGTTAACCATGACATTGATTTTATTTCAATTCAGGATTTAAACTTTCAACTTTAAACTTTTACACTTTTCGCAAAGCATTTTAAAAGTTTTGCCTGAATTCCTAAATAGTTTGTAATATGTGATTTTATGCTTTGGTTTTTAGTTTTAATTTTCTTATTTTATTGTTTTTTTTTGTACAAAAAATGATTGTTGATCAATCGATATCTTTTATAAATATATAGTTTTATTTCAATAGAAAAATTTATTTGATCATTCAAACAAAGAGAATTATTAGAAGAGAATGAGGGGCGTATACAGGATCTTTCCAGGGGTAGGGGCATATATGTTTTTGGACTGAATCCCCCTAAGTCTGCATGACTCTGTAAACAGTCATATATATAAAGTAGTAATCTTTGTTTGTGTGTTTGCTTGTTTATGACACAGGAACCCAATGAACGATTTGCCTCGAATTTTGATTTGGGATCTTGGGAGAACCACGGATCACTAAAATAGTAATTTAACCCTATTCCTGCTGGGGGGGGGTCAATTTGACCCCCCCCCTGAAATTTTTTATACATTTCTCAAAAAGTGTTGGTCTGATTCTGTTGAAATTTTCTGACTTTTCCTACATACCCAAAGCCCTCCCTTTAGAGCTAATACTAAGTGCCTGAGTCCTCAGGCACACTGCCTGATGAATGACTGCTTTTTCCTGTAACAAACTAAATCTTTGTTTTTACCCACTTTCCAAATTTAGCTTTTTGGAAAGCCTTTGACATAAGAAAACGAATTGCACAAGTTTTCCGAAGAAAAATTGCAAATTTTTTGCAAACAACCTGTCAAAGGAAATTTGCACATTTTTAGTTTTTCTTGATTAAAAATCAGGTTATTTAAGATTTTGCAAAAAATTTTGCATATTTTAAATGGCATGTTAAAAATCTTTTCAAAAACATATAGTTTTTCATTTTTTGGACAAATTTTTTTTGCAAACATTTCTACTTTATAACTCGATTTTGCGATAAAAAATTCAATTTTTGCAAATTTGCAATTTTTTTTGCAGATTCTAAAAGTAGAGCACAAGAGCTTTCCAATAATGTATCATTTGTCATATTTGGACATCAAATATGGGATTTAGAGGGGGGGGGGGGTCAATTTGACCCCCCCCCCCTGCATATCCTGGTTTTTAAGTACCCCAGCAGAGATAGGGTTAAGACCAAGCGAGGGTAAAAACGGCGGGAGTAAATATGTTCTTTGTTTTCTTCCAGGAATTCTGTAAGAAGAGTGGGGAGCTGGTTGTTGTTGTTGCTAAATCTGCTGGATCGGTATATATATGATATATATATATGATGGTGAAGAGGTGACTGTTTACGTTTTAGTGACGAATCAAGCACTGATAAATCTATTGATTGATGGAACAATTTAGCAGTCGACTAAATAACGATAAGAGTCTCAGGATAGAAGGCGATTTTCATAACCGCCACAGTGGTCCCCCCAGAAGGAACGGCGGAGAAGTGATGGAGCAGATTCTTCTATCTCTTCGAGGACCTGTAAGAATTTCGACGTACAGGTTCATGTGGCGGAAGAACCTGAGGGACGATTTGAAACCTTACTCTCTTGGGTATTCAAGCATTATTGGCGGAGGAAGGCGGAGTAAACGCCACTGGTTGGTGGCAAGATCTTCGTCGAGGCGGAGGTAAACTAAACACAGGCGATCAACTGAAACTGAATCCTGCTTGGAACCAATCTGGAGGCAGAAGTATCTCCTCTGCCCATCAATTACCACATAAGGTCCTCTGTAACCTGGAGCCAGGGTTCGTTGAACTTCTCTTCATGAACAAAAACAAACGACGAGGGCTGCAGGGAGCTGAGACAGAGAAACTGGACGAACATGATGAGGCGGAGGAACGGAGAAACCATCAATGGCTCTCTCAACTTCTTTAGGAAGGTATCAGGAGGCAGTTCAGGAACATCCGCTAGTTCTCCAGGCAAGGTTAAGGGTGATCCATACACAGCCTTGGGAACTGAGAGGCCGGTGTCATCCTTTGGAGTAGCTCTCAAACTAGAGCGAGAACCAGTCTGAACCTGCTAATCTGGCCCGGAGAGATGATTTCAAACTTCTCGAGCATACAATTTTGAAGTAGGATAACATCACAAATTTTTTTGAAGTCTTCTAAAGGTAAAAATTCCTTAAATGTTTTGAATTAAACCCCAGCACGATGGAATCCTTAGTCAGAAAGTATTTGGACGAAATATAGACTCATTGAACACTTCTAATTATGGTTAAGATTTCCTTGGGCCAATAAACATAACTTATAAACTGCAGTATTGTATCCATGTCTATCTATTCTTTTAATTTTCTAAAGTGACTCTTTTCCCTTCCTTATCTTCTAATCTACTCTGTGCAAAACTTTAAAGTTATTTTTATAAACAAATTAGAATTGTTAATGCAAGGCTGGATTAAGAATTCTAAAAAATTCTCTACAGAAGCCATTTTTTTAAATAATTAGTTTGCAGATAAAATATTTAATTCAGTCCAGTTCTAATGATAACCTGTACAACTATAATCTACAATTCTTTCGCTATTTGAAAATCCTTAATATTTTTTTCGAAATAACTAACTTAAGCTGGAAGCACTTCAAAATTACTAACTTTTTGTTCAATTATAAAAAACAGAATTTTTGGGAATATACAAATTTAATGGATTTCCTTATCATATCTGTTCATAATTGCAAAGAAAATTTTTGTAATTTTGATTTTTCTGAATTTACTAGACTTTCTGATAATAAGAGCTGGGGAACACTTCACTTAGTTTCGTGTTATTCTCTTCTAGCTTGCTTCATATACTATTCATATACGGTTATGCTTTACAAAAATTATTTATTACCAATTTATAAAATGTTTAAGATCTAAAGGAATTGAGTTTTCGCCACAAACTCAGATTTTCTAATTCCATATATAATGCCATAAACCTTAGATATGTCAAGCTATATTTTCTGTTAGATTAAACAAGTTTGAAATATTAAAGCTTTACACCATCAGGCTGAAAAGATATGGGGACTATAACATTTAAGATTGTGGCAAAGACTCAATTACTTTGTTGTTCACTGACATACAGGCATAGACACCGTAATCATAGAATTCATCCAGCCCTGCCAGTTTGGGAAGAACTGAGCAGCGCAAAAGATGTTATAAGTAGCTGTTCCATTGTAGCCAATAATGGTCTTAGGTGGTGCGCAGAAGTAGCTGGCAACAGCGCCCATGGCCAAGCTACCGTCCCAGGTTCGGTTTGTATATCCAAAGCTGGTGAAGTCAGGAGGGTTTATGCATGATGTTGGTGCTGTATCAGTACACTGCTGGTATTCCTGCTTGGGACTTGGACCTAGTGTTGTAAATCGTTTGGAATCGTTTTTAAAAAATATTTAAAACTGTGTTATGTGTTAATGTTTGCTTTTATAAACTTTATCCTTAAAAAAATCGTTTTAACACTTTTTTTTGATCGTTTTGGGGCTGTTTTTTTTGCATATATCTTCTGTCAGGATCAATATTTGACATAGTGTAAAAATAAAAATGTTTGGTATAAAAATTTTAAAAAACAATTTTATTTTACATTATGCAGAATTTTAACCTCGGTAGAAAATATAGATAAAAACGACTCAGAAACTAACCAGCTAAAGGCATATAACTTATATAGACCTGAATCACATGCACGGAGGATAACACGGGTTTCATAGTTTCTATACAAACAGCCTCCAGTCTCAGACTAAACAAGATTTTAAATAAACTCCGTACCAAGTACAATTGTTTATCAGGAAAGACAAATTCAAAGCTTTCCGATTTTAATAGCAATGATATGACTTCTTACAAGGATTTAATGCAAGGAAAGTTATTTCAGAGGTGTACGCATCTTTTGTACTGCAGTGCACTGTCACTGGGCGGTAATGTAAACACAAGACGGATGTCGAAGCCTTTCACATAAATAATCAATGAAATATTCTGGTCATAGTAAACTAGATTATGTGAATTATCAAAATTATCAAAAATCAATGCTTTTAACCTCCTCGGATACTAAACGAACACTGAGGCATCTATTCTTGTTTACAAATTCCGCCCAGAGAGAACTGGTTTCAATATGTACGCAGAGTATACACAACTGCAATTAATTGTCCTTGCATTACATTCTTGACTTCTTATAACTCATATTTTTCATTTAGTTTTTTCACACTTTATGAAAAATACATATTAATGATGATTTAAAACGAATTAATGTTTTGCCACAAACTCTAATTTTCCCATTCCTATAGCTTTGCAACCCAATGTCGTAGACCTTAGATATTTCAAGTTATGAATTCTATTAGATCAAATAATCTAAGCTTTAAGTAATAAATGTTTATACCATCGGTTCAATTCCTAGTTCACCGATTCACTCTCCAACTAATTATATAAATCTTAATGAATCTTTACTTTTACTTTACTTGTGATTCAGGATTTGAACCGGCGGTAGGAAGTTTAACGACTTCTCGCAACTCTATAATCTGTCTTTAAAAATGGAATTTTGTAAAACTTTGAAATTTAAAATTTAAAATGTTTTCCTGAGATCCCATGGATATATAAGTTCCAGCATGAGGCCCAGCTAATATTTTCTTACAGTTTACACAAGAACATGATGACTGTCCAGTAACCAGCTGGTTTAAACTCAACAACATCATTATAGCCAGGATACCCATCCTATTTAACATAGTTATAGGACTGGGCATCAGAGTAAAATAATTCCAAGAAAACCATAATAGCTGCTACAATTAATTACGCAAAAAAACTTGCTTTATTATATATCATAATTAATAGTTTCTCTTCCGTATGTTTTGCAAAATTTTCCCATTTATTCCCAGCGAAATTTTTGCATTTTTTCGCAAATTTTTCGCGGAATTTTCGCATTTTTTTATTTTGCAAAAAGTTTGCATTTTTTCGCGAAACAGATAAAAGCGAAATTTCGTGAAAAAAGAGATTTTTCGGCAAAAAAAATTTCGCGAAACGATTTACCCTTTTCGCTGGAAACCCTATTTCTAATAGGGCTGGGCAAATTTCCATCAACAAACAGAATTTCATAAATGAGAAATTGAAGAAAAAAGTCAATTGAAAAAAAAATATTGATTTTAAACTTGCTGACCGACCTGGGACCGAATTAAATGAATTTGAGCTACGTCGCTAAACTACCTCCCGCCGCCGGTTCAAATCTTAAATCGCTTCAAAGTTAAAGATTCAAGAAGATTTGAATCGGTGATTAAGGATTTTAACCACGGAGCGGTAGACAGGCAGTGATTTAAATTCTAACCGGTGGGGAAGGCTGTTAAAATGTATTAACATTTGTTCGTGAAATATATAATGAAGTTTAATATCTAATTCATTAATTTAACAATTGATGGGTGGATAAAAAAAGTTATAATATACGAGCCCCAAACTATTATTCTATTTGTTAGTAAGACTGTAAGTTAAATGTAAAGTGACCCTCCATGCAAAGATGGCAATGCCCTATTGAAACCTTTATCTGATCAAAAATGTGGAAATTGTCATTTTTCAAAATTATAAACATCAATATCTAATTCATACTTGATCACACAAAGCTGTTAAGGGTAACGTTGTGAATCAGGCATTGTCATCTTTGCATGGAGGGTGACATTAAGGTACGCTTACAGTTGCTGCTGTACTTAGCTTTAATTCTTTATAGATATATTTAAAAACCTGTAAGGTGCAGAGTAGATGAAGAACTGACTAAAGATTCCAAATTTAAAAGCAACAAAAAAGATAAAAAGATTTTTATCAAAACTTTGAAAAACTGCTTACTAAGTTTTTTTTAAACAGGATTTTTACTTTCTAAAAAATTTGTTATGAATTTGTTTATTTTTTTTGCAATCTCCCTTTTTCCTTTTTAAAACAAGAACAAAAGGATAACAATTGGTGCGGAGCAAATTTTATTATTTTTAATATTTATTTTTGTTGTAGAATATGCCAATTTGAACAAAATGATTCATTCATCAAAGATATTCCTTTTTACCCGCCCTTTCTCAAAGTTGCAGTAACTTTTAAAAATACCAAGATATCTATGGTTCTAATTGAAAAAAAACTCCTTTTGCACAGTATTATGACGACCGTCTAATTTAATGTTTTTTATAGACCTTTAGTAGCGCTGACACTCTCATGTCTACAACACCAAGCTTCCAGAAATCTGCCTAACAATTCTACTTTGCTATATAGCTGCAGGATACAGTAGGTTAGATGTTAATACAATATATATCCTAGCTATATAATTTACTTACAGAGTTACTTCGCTATAGAGCAGGATAAAGTAGGTTAGATGATAATACCAATATATATATCCTAGCTATATAGTTATCTATACAGTTCTACTCTGCTATAGAGCAGGATACAGTTGGTTAGATGATAATACCAATGTCCAATATATATATCCTAGCTATATAGTTATCTATACAGTTCTACTCTGTTATAGAGCAGGATACAGTAGGTTAGATGATAATACCAATATATATGTTCTAGCGTTACAGTTCTACTCTGCTATAGAGCAGGATACAGTAGGTTAGATGATAATATCAATATCTATTCTAACTATATTGTTAAATACCCAGTTCTACTCTACTATAGAGCAGGATACAGTAGGTTAGATGATAATATCAATACATACGTCTTCTAGCTATATTGTTAACTACCCAGTTCTACTCTGCTATAGAGCACGATACAGTAGGTTAGTTGATAATATCAATATACGTCTTCTAGCTATCTTGTTAACTACCAGTTCTATTCTACTATAGAGCTGGATACAGTAGGTTAGCTAATAATATCAATATATACGTCTTCTAGCTATATAGTTAACTATACAGTTCTACTCTACTATGGAGTAGGATACAGTAGGTTAGATGATAATATCAATATATACGTCTTCTAGCTATATTGTTAACTACCCAGTTCTACTCTGCTATAGAGCAGGATACAGTAGGTTAGATGATAATACCAATATAGGTCTCCTAGCTATATAGTTTACTACCCATTTCTACTCCAAAAAAATAGAGCCGAGCGCCGCGGCCACGAGTCTATATTAGCAGCTGTAAAACCACGTGCTAGTTGGTCGGATGTGTAGTATGCGGATTTGGCGTAAGTCAGAAGTGGAATATACTGGACTTTCGTATGTCGAAAGATCCACCATCCTTTAAATCATAGTGGGGACAAAATTCATTAATTTTTAATTTTTTGTTTCATCTCAATGCGAGTATACAGTTTGGCCCGTTAAAGCCTATTATCTGAAGTCATATTACAAAAAAAATATATATGATAATAATTATTTAAAATCTGTTTTTCTTTAATAAAACACAGCTTTATCTAAATTTTGTTGAAACTATTTAGTTATAGTTAAGCCAATTGAAAGAATTAATATTAAATCTTTGTGGATTAAACGATTTTTAATCTTTTGTGGATTCTACTAAAGAAGAGATATATTGGATTTTTGGTTGGTTGAGCAATACAAGGTAAATTAAAAAATAAATACATCGGATATTAAAATATGGAGGCTTGGAGACTTATAAGAGGCACGAAGATGGGGCTGTAAGAAGGCTCTGCAGGTCATTTCACGGGGCTCATGGCGGCTCTTCACCCCATCCCATGGAGAGGTGGGGGTTGAATCTATAAACTGTATTTCTCCTCCCTTGAACTTACAAAACCAGTATTTGACCACTCCTCTTCTCGACAAATAACTAATCTCAATGCTCACGTGTTAGATATAAAATTAAAGGGACTGTAGGAGTATTTCAAGTGACACTTTGTCCAATTCACAAGCGTACCCTTTCAAACTTTATATGAGCAGCACTAAGGAAGACATTGCCGTTTTTTTTCAGAAAACATCCAATATACTATATAATACAGAGTCACCCACAAAGGATGAGACTTAAGAGACGACTTATAAATTTATTACTGTTTCCTTATAGTCATGATTCTCTGCAACTGTCGACTGGTTTCTTTTGTTGCCGAGTAAATAAATTAAAAGACAAAATATTTAATTTAACCTTGTAATCATCATGTATGATATGTTACGCTGTGTTTACCGTCTCATTCTTTTAGGGTAACCCAGAATATATAGAAACTCTGGTTTATGAACCCAGTATATTTAGAAACTCTGGTTTATGAACCCAGTATATATAGAAACTCTGGTTTATGAACCCAGTTTATTTAGAAACTCTGGTTTATGAACCCAGTTTATTTAGAAACTCTGGTTTATGAACCCAGTTTATTTAGAAACTCTGGATTATGAACCAAGTTTAATTAGAAACTCTGGTTTATGAACCTAGTATATATAGGAACTCTGGTTTATGAACCCAGTATATATAGAAACTCTGGTTTATGAACCCAGTAATTTAGAAACTCTGGTTTACGAACCCAGTTTATTTAGAAACTCTGGTTTATGAACCCAGTTTATATAGAAACTCTGGTTTATGAACCCAGTATATACAGAAACTCTGGTTTATGAACCCAGTATTTATAGATACTATGATTTATGAACCCAGTATGTATAGAAACTCTGGTTTATGAACCCAGTTTATTTAGAAACTCTGGTTTATGAACCCAGTATATATAGATACTCTGATTTATGAACCCAGTATATATAGAAACTCTGGTTTATGAACCCAGTTTATTTAGAAACTTTGGTTTATGAACCCAGTATGTATAGAAACTCTAGTTTATGAACCCAGTATATATAGAAACTCTGGTTATGAACTCAGTATATTATGGGAACTCTGGTTAATGAACCCAGTATATATAGAAACTTGGGTTTATGAACCCAGTTTATATAGAAACTCGGGTTTATGAACAGGTCATGGTTCGTGAGACACCTAGAATATCATGAATGCCCATTACAGCATTCCGCGCATGCGCATAAATAGAAGGATTTGAATATAATCTCTGCCCGGGTCAGTTCTTCGGAAAGGATTCTTGACATGAGGGACATGAAACCTGTCTTAGCACATTACTCAAACCATTAGCAGCATAGACAACATACAATACAGATTATACAGTTTAGAATAGACAACATAACACAGATTATACAGTTTAGAATCGATAGAATAGACAAAATAGACAGATAATACAGTTTAGAATAGACAAAATAGACAGATTATACATTTTTGAATAGACAATTAGATAGATTATACAGTTTAGAATAGACAAAATAGACAGATTATACAGTTTAGAATAGACAAAATAGACAGATAATACAGTTTAGAACATACAAAATAGACATATTATACAGTTTAGAATAGACAAAATAGACAGATTTTACAGTTTTAAATAGACAAAATAGATAGATTATACTGTTTATTCAACCAACATAGATTAAATTTATGAGTGAGACCTAAGCTAAGTACGACAGATGACATTTAAGCAATCTTATTTGTATTAAATGTTGTTTTGTTAAAGAAACATAAGATTTATTGAAAGCTTGAAAATAATAAAGTGAAATGTTTCTGTAAGCACACTGCACAATAAACGAGTGCCATGCCCATTGGACTATTTAAAACCATAACTTGAGACCTGCAGTCGTCTTCCATTTCCACAGCTGTGTGGGTTCTACTGTGTATAACATGCAAAAAACTAAATTCTAATTAACTATTCCTATAAAAATGATTTAATACCAGAATCTAGGATATTCCTATTCACATGATTTAATACCAGAATCTAGGATATTCCTATACACATGATTTAATACCAGAATCTAGGATATTCCTATACACATGATTTAATACCAGAATCTAGGATATTCCTATACACATGATTAAATACCAGAATCTAGGATATTTTACTGTTTTTTACATCTTAGTCTTCTCATTTATATTCAAGAAGGAAGGTTATGAATATAAAAATGGAGTGATGAGGGAGGGGTGGAGGGAGGGGATGGGGGAGGAGATGAGGGAGGAGATGTGGGAGGGGATGGGGAGGAGATGGGGAAGGGATGGAAGGAGGGGATGGAAGGTGACCCCTGGGTAGTTGGAGAGTAAAGTGGGACGTAAAGAGAAAGAGAAAGAAAGAAAAATGGGGATCAGTAAAAAGAGAAGAAATGAAAAAAGTTAAAAGAAGAAAAAAATAAAAAAAACACTTGACACGAAGTACTTTTGGGACTGTTAATTTTACTGACGACCTTTTTGTCGTCTTCGATTTACGCTAAAATTTACAGAGCAGAACAGCACATTTTTTTTTACAAGGTACAAGTAGTAGTCAAAGTAAAAATGTAAAGAATTAGAATGGGAAACCGAAAAAGAAGAAGAAAAATATAAAACTAGAATTTTTAGGCGCTGCGCGCCCCGACTCCTTTTAATAATTGTATATTTAAGATTTAACTTTCGAGACAGCGAATGTTCTTCATGGAAATACAATGCACATAAACAAGGAAAAACTGTAAATTTTCAAATTATACAAAACTAGATATATTTCTAATACAAATTATGCAAAACGAAGATGATTTGAGTTTCTGAGTTGGCATGCTGCCAGCAACTGTCAAACCACAGATTAAAGAGATAATACAAGAAATTCAATTGTTGTAATACTACAGGGGATATTAGTAACAAAAATAACACTTGGCCCATTTCTATATATATATCTTTAAATCCAAGATGAGTAGAACAAAAAAAAGTTTTGGAACTAATGTCCTCCTGGACTACAAACATCCAATATGTGGTGGATGTAGATCACGCAACAGCGAAACAAAACAAAATTACTTTATTTACTAGCTGCGCCCCACTCTAAAAGTTCCATGATCCGAG